AAATCTGTTTAAAAATCTACAGTAAACTTACATATATATTCAGATTTTGTACTTTTCTTTTCAGACCTTCAGGTAGATTAAAATAGGGTTTAAACTTTGTTTCTCTTAATACCGATTTTACATGGGGGTGCACAAAAAAAATTGCACCCCCCTATGCTAAACTTTCACTACGCGCCTGTTGATATTATGCATTTTAAACCAAATACAGATTTAAATAATAATCCGTCTCAAGAGAAAATTAAAAGAAATTGTTTCTAGGCAAAATAAATCGCTAAAATTGACTACAAATTAAATTTAAAATTTGGATCTTCGTAAGGATAGGGAAGATAAAATTGCTAGAAAATGTAATGAGTCATAACTAGGGTTTCCAGTGAACGAAACGTTTCGCGAATAATATGTAAACTTTCGCTCGCATTTCACAACCTTTTTGCGAAATTTCGAATTTTATCGCAAAAATAAACGAAGCGAAATTTCGCGGAAAAATGCGTAATAATGCGAAAATTTTGTTATAACCATGAATTTTTTAAGTGCAACAATTAATTACTCAAATGAACTTGCTCTGATAGCTCAATATTTGGTTTATATCATGTCATATAAATAATTTATCTTCCTTTACTTTCATAACTGTTTGAATTTGCATTTGTTTGTAAAAATTCTGTATTTTCCGCAAAATAAATCGCTGTTTTATTTAATTTCCATTTTTTCAGCGAAATTTTCACATTTATTCACGAAATTATTGCATTATTTTTCGCACTTATTCCGCAAATGTTTTCACTTTTCGCGACCATTTCGCATTTTGTTCGCTCGCGAAAAATTAAAGAGTTTTCGCGAGCGAACAAATGCGAAAATAAAGCGAAATTTTCGAGAAACGATTTTTACTTTTCGCTGGAAACCCTAGTCATAACAGATATCCTTAAATCCCGTTTCTTCATAACACAATTATGAACATGTCTCCAGCATCTACGACGAAATTTATACCTGCTACAAGCGCATTGATTGTTGAATCGTTTACTTCAGCCATCTTATTTCTGAAAATGAAATTTAAATAATTATCTGAAAGAAAATTGTACAAAAACATCACAGAACTTAAAAGCATAAAGCAAGCCGACAGGTAAATCTAAATTCCTGAACTACCATTTTAGAAACCCCAACCCCTGGCCAATCGTTTTAGAACATCAAGATTATTAGTGACAAAGAAGATTGACATGTAGCCGCAGCGTCCGGAACTGCAGGTACGCAATGCCTGTCCTAGCCGTGCAAAAATGGATATGGAGGGGGGGAAATAAGGAGCATTTCCTAGAGAACGATTTCCAAAAATTGTTCTCTAGGAATATACCAGATTATTAAATTTATTTACATAATACGTATGCACTTCAAAGGCGTCACGAAAGTGCGTCCAAAGTCGGCACAAACAAACACACGTGTGTGAGATTTACGAAGTTTTGTTGTATTGCGCATGCGCACAATAATAAACGGCTCTTGGCTTTTGAATTTTCCTTAAAACTTGTTTTAAATTTACAATAGCTAATTCAATTTTATCAAATACTAAATTATTTAAAAATCTTTGTTTTAATATGTAATCACAATACTTTTTATGAAATAATTTTAAAACGACAAAAGAAAAAGAGAAAAACTATAATGTTTTAATGGCAGTGATCCTTGAAACGATAGATCCGTAGTAAAGAATAGAAAACGGCATTCTGATGGAAGACGCACACACTCGTATATTTGGAAACAGCGGCGAAGAAAGTAGAAAAATCCAGTTATTTCCTCTCTTATTCGGTGAATTTAATCGTCCGGTTTCTTTTAATGGTAATAAGTGTAAAATCAGACATACTGCTAATGTTTTGATTGAGTTGTCTTTTAGATCAAATTGTAGAAATGTCGGACAATGATGAAACCACCATTGTCGAGAATCAGGGTAAGAAAAATTGCCAATAATTCTGGAGATATCATGTTAGTTTTCAATTCGGGATTCGGATTGTTTAGATTGTTTAATTATTATATCTCGTGTTGTCGTTTTTATCTTATTTATCTTGAAAAGTTTGTGACCGTTTCTACTCTGGCAATTACCAATAAAGTACTTTGTGACCGTTTGTATCCTTGCAACTTGACTAATAAAGTAATCATGTCATCAAAAGAAAAGCTAAACAAACGAAGTGGGAAAACTAAAATAAATCAATACAATCCTATACACAGTCGTACACAATAACTGTCTCAGTACTTAATTGTATAATCACCCATTTGTTATTTAGTCGTTGATCGAGAGCTTTCTGATGACGACGAACCAACTCAGCTAATTGATTCCCAAGGTGATAAAAGATTAATCTATTTATCTATATGTATGTATTAGTTATTCTGTTTTGGTGTCTGTTGTCATTATACCAGATCTTAGTTTATAATCCCCTTCACCGATTTAGATTTGCTTAATTTAGAATCATGGTTGAACCTCAGGAATGGCAAAACATGATAAATTGGGGCCCGTCCTTTTATACGATCTATTCAAAATTACTACTTATTTCTCAGCAAAAATATTATTATTTAAAAAAAAATATTTTAGGGTTAGGTTAGGTCAAGACAATTTCTGGGCCGAGTACTGCGGTTAGGACAGGCTAGGGTGCCGAGCGCCGCGGCTAGGTCAAAATTGATAGGAGAGGGGGGGGGGGGGTCCAAAAATCGATAATAGGAAATTATCAAAAATTGTGTGGGTTGAATGTATATTGGAAGTTAAAATTCCCAGGCGGAGATGGGTTCCCAAGCAAGTTAAGTATAATACGGTTACCATCACAGTATCCAGTCATATGCTAACTGAGCTGAAAACTTTAGAATGAGATATCTTTAATCACGATCGCTTAATCTGATTACCCAATGTACACAACACACTTACGATTATCTTCTTATAATCCTCTTTTTGGATATCTGTACTGTATAAAAGTTACGTTTTATAACAATAACAGATAAAAGTCTAGTTAGAACCACTCCAGTATGCCGAGTCCATCAGCGCCCGATCCAATCATGTGTTTGATGTCTACTCTGAACCAATAGAAATATTTCTATCTATCTCATTATCTAATCAGATTTTATAAATCCTTCGATCAGCGCTATCAGGAAATGGAAATATTTACTTCTATTGAAACTATGGTGGAACAGGGCCGGGATAGTGTACCCTGCTGCCAGGGCGGTCTGGAGGTCCACAATGAGGCCTCTTGCAGATTTCAATTCCTTATGAATCCTTATATTGATCGAACTTTAATATCGGATTAAATTAAATTCAGCTGTTCACAAACCGGCTTTTAGAACATTTAAACAAATATAAATTTAATCCTGTTAATGTGAAATTATTGTAAAACATATTTTAGGACTATTGTCATTTTGAACGTTAGTCTTAATAAACACTAATCCAAAACTAACGTTCGTTCAATCGATGTTTAGTTCAATTGATATGACACCATCAACACCAGAAATCAAAACCGGGTTTTCAAAAGTTAAAGAGTACATCTTAACATGACACGCTGATTGGTTAAATTTTTAACTTCTTTTTTGGATATCGAATGCGTTTTATAATAATCTTGGGTTCAGTAAAGCCAGGAGTTTAAGCATTAATCTTGACATCCAAGTTTTAGTTCTGAATTGATAAATTCTCTAAATGTTTTAAAAACTGTTTATTTGAATGATGGAAAAAAGTTCATCGTCTGTGTAGTGCTGAGTGCTGAGTGTTGTAGGTTAACTCCGGTTTATTCATAAGTGTCTAAGCCTATAGATACATTTTTTTTAAGGGGACATGCCAACACAGATGAATGTGGACGACATGCCAACACAGATAAATACCGATGACATGCCAACACAGATGAATACGGATGATTTACCAACTCAGATCGATATGGATGACATGCCCACTCAGATAAATATGGACCACAACTCAACTGAAATGGATTTGGATGATGAACCAACCCAGAAAGTCGTGGATGAACCAACAATCATAGATGACATGCCAACTCAGTTGTACGCGAATGATTCCCTGAATGAAGATGACCAGCCGACACAGCTAAATAAGTCCCCTGATACAAGTATTGATGATGAGGAGGGCCGTGAGAGATCTAAGTCCCCTGAGTTTGGAACCAAGTCACGATCAGCCTCTCGAAGTAGATCTAGATCTAAGTCAGTGGAAAGGTCTGGATCTGCAGAGATGCAATCTCCGGAAAATGAAGAGGAAGGACGAGATAAATCTAATTCTAGATCCAAGTCCGGATCAAGATCCAAGTCCGGATCAAGATCCAAGTCAGGATCAAGATCCAAGTCCGCATCAAGATCCAAGTCCAGATCTAGATCCAAGTCCAAATCTAAATCCAAGTCCAGATCTAGATCCAAATCCAGGTCAGGATCTAGGTCTGTATCCCGAGATAGATCAAGATCAGGGTCGGCTAAAAGATCTAAATCAGGATCAAGATCCGTTTCCCGGAGTAAGTCGAGGAGTAGATCGAAATCAGGAAGTAGATCAAAATCAAGATCAATCAGCAGATCGATGTCGAGGAGCAAGTCAAGATCAGGAAGCAAGTCCGGATCCAAGTCTCGATCTGTCAGCAGATCCAAGTCTAGATCAGGAAGTAGATCAAAGTCTAGATCAAGATCCAAATCCGTTTCCAGATCAAGATCACGAAGTGGATCTAGATCAGACAGTGACGTAGAGTCGAAGAAGAAGAAGATTGTGCGCGAAGCTCTTGGAGATTCTGATGATGAGGGTGCAGAAGGTCAAGGAAAGGAGGCCGCTCTTCCAAACCTCTCCGATAGCGAGGATGAAGGGAAGAAGGAGGTAAAGCATTAATAAATCATTAATAAGAAATAATATTTTTACATGCAATTTTGTCAAATATTAAAGTGAGTGACCGGCTATGTATGACAGTTGAACTGTGAATTTTGTATTGTAGAGAATTTTTTTAGGGTTCATTTAAGACATATAAAACGTTTTAATGATGTATAATTACGAAGTTTGAGCGCAAAGTTGACGTTTAAGATCATGCAGTGAGTGGTTATGTCTTGAGAGTCGATTTTAAAAAAATTATTAAAGATTGACAATAAAAAAGTAACAAAATGTTTAAGTAAACCAATTAGTTGTTTAGAAACAGGTAGAGAAAATAAAAATTGACTCTTATTGTCGAAAATAAGAAATCTTGTTTAGTTATTTGTTTCTTTAATGTCTTATTGCTTCTAAACGGTTCTTCTGTAGATTTCCCGGAATTTTTATTAAAAAGAAGTAACAAATTTTATTCTCAAACGTAACCACCAAAAAGAATGATTTTGAACGTCTATTTTGCGCCCAAACTCAGTTATCATATTTCCTTGAAAACGTTTTAAATGTCTCGAATGAATTCTAAAAAATTTCTCCACGATACATTCTTAGTTCAACTACTATACATTGCCGATTTTTATTCAATTTTTACCGGTTAGTATTTTTATATTTTGTTCTTTATCAAGGACAAACCAGTTGAAACTGAAAGGAAAGCAGATGATTCAAGCGATGATGATGGACCAACAAGGTGAATTAACAAACATAACATTGTTGGACATTTAAAAATATTTCATAAATCTCGAGATCTTGACTTTTTGTTAATCTTGAATGCGCTTCGTCTTGCTATCCAATGTGGGCACTTGTAAATTTTAGGATCAATGCTTGGCCCCACAATTAAAGTTTTCCTTGTATAGTTTAACAAATAATCATCACGGGATATCGAAGAGAAATTAAATTAATCCGTAGATTTTCATAAAATGGAGATTAATGCTTGATACCGAGATTCATAAAACAACTTCTGAATGAAATTTTTTCATTTTGATAAATTAGTTTTTTAGTGATAGTAAATATGTGTAAGCGAAATGTGGCAATTTTACTTTTTGTGTTTCTGAACGTCAAATGGAATTAAATCGGAAGGAAATAAAATGTTTTATAAAATATTATTCAGTACCATTCTTGATTAGGAATGGCGACGAAGGATTGTCTGGAGGTCGACTAATGTCAGATTTCGACATGATGCTGGAGAAGAAACGAGCTGACATGAAGAAACGACGTAAGAAGAAGGATATCGATCTGATCAACGACAATGACGACGCGATTGCCCGTTTGATCGCGGACATGAGACTCGCCGCCAGGAACATGTTTAAAACAAATTATTTTTTGCTTTTCCATTTTTTACGATTTTTTAAAAATATAATTTTTATCTTGATTATTTCAATACTTTTTAAACGTTTGCCTACCAGGGAAGACAATGAGTTAAATATTGCAAGACAGCCAGCTATAAGGTTAGTCGCAGGGGGAGAAGGGAATGGTTGATTTCGGATTGGTTTTTGTCTTGTGGTTTCCAGTTAAAATGAATATTAATTAACTTCAGTCGAACTAAATTTAATTGGTTATGTATTTTAAGAGGGATGCTACGAAAAATAAAGGAAAATACGCTCTTTTTTCGGTTCAAAATTCGATCATTTCTAAATGTGCTTTCTCTACTAAAGTGATTTGCTGATTTTATAAAGAATTGCCAAATAACGTAATTTACAGAATTGAACACTTTATAAAGCGAAAAAGCATATTTTCCCCATTGATGCCCAGATGGATTTAAAGGGTACCGTTGTAAATCGGACATGGTACTTTAAAATTGGAGTGTCCCTTTAAATTACGTATACAAGCCCTTAAACTGATAATAGGGGTAGTTAATTACTCAGAAAATATATTCGCCATGTAATGTTAAGTTTAATATTTATTTAGAAAGATTGCTATGCTGAGGCCGGTGATGTCCCAGCTGAAGAAGGTCGACCTCCAGATGGCCTTTGTGGAGGCCAATGTACTGTCCGTCATGACAGACTGGTTGGCCCCCATGCCAGATAAATCTCTTCCTAGCCTGGAGATTAGAAAGGTAGTTCTATCTTTCAATTTTAGTAAGTTTTTTTTTGTGTGTTAAATGTATTAACAAACATAGGGGGGGGGGGGG